CTTCCTTCCTTCCTTCCTTCCTTCCTTCTTCTGTCATGTGGGGATAGCTGCTTAGGAACTCAGAACCACAACTATTCCAGAGACTAGATCAAAGTAGTGACAAATGAAATATCCTTCCAACTTATTCATGAAAGCTGTGGCTAATGTTACACCCAAATTCTATCAGCCACATGTGTTCTTGCCAAGTTTTTAAGCAGGGAACAAATCCCTTGAGGATTTAATTTGCACACATACAGATGCCTCTGTGCATGCATGTATTATGGGGAGGGAGGGCAGAAAAAACTTACAAGGACAAAAATAAGGCAGGATGACTGAAACAATGGGAGATGTTTTGCTTTCTGAATAATGGTCATTATGGCATCCTCCACTGTCAGTCTAATTTTACTTCAACACTAGTGACAGATTGTGTCTATCGCTGCTTTGGGAATGAAGAGCAGATATTATAGCATATTCAGTTCTGTACTTCAGTGAAAGGAGATTGCCAGGAAGTGTGGGTGAGCATCTAAGGACTGCTCTGAAGCTACTAGCATCTCTGAGGTTTCTCTGTCTAATGGTAGGACTGGCCCTGTATTAGCAAATATGCAGTCAAAATCTATGCTTATATATTTATTTATTATAGGGGCCGAGGGCTGGATCTCTGCCCTCCCACCAACACTTACTGTTACCAGTCACAGAAGAAGGAAGAGAACTACTGTAAAACAGTGCCTCCCACTCCTAATCCCCACAGTTGGTCCAGAAGGATACCATGGTTGATGATACGGAAAACTGCCAAGATCCAGGAGGGCCAGGACAGATGCACCACCTCTGTCCCAAGCCCCCCAGAGGTCATCCACAAGCGCGACCAATGTCGTTTCTGTACCCCGGCCTGAACCCAGACTGAAAAGGGTCCAGATAATCACCCTTTTGAATTCCATTTAAATTGTGTGAAATTATCTAGCATTTTCAGTACTGACTGATTTTGGAAAAAAAATGTACCTTATATACCTGTGAGGTTCTTATTCTGCTTGTTGGCACAGGTTTTCTTCTTGTTTCTTGATGAGCAGGGTCCAGCATTATGTTTAATACCCTATATACAAACGGCCTTGAAACTCTAATTGAATCTTCAGTAACAGCTTAGTGGATTTGTAAAAAATATCTGCAGAATTTGTTAACTTTTTGCTCTCTCTGGTGCTCTCATTGACAGTTATAACTTACATAACTAGAGGACCTCACAAAAAAATGGATGCATTTTTTTTTCTGTTTCAGAAATAAATCTGGATCTCTTGATTCTTCAGTGTGTCTGTATCTGAAGGATTTAAGTAATTGATATCCCATGTTCAATTCTGAAGCCCTTTCTTGTTCTCATAATTGTCTGTCTGTTGAGGAGGACCTGAATTTCCAACCATCTGTTTTGTGGTATAGGCTAGAGGCACAGAGCTTCATTTCTTTAATTACTGGATTTGTATTTTTTTATCTAGACCTCTTCTTGTACTTTAATTATTTCTTGTATTTTGTAACTTCATTGAATGGCTCATTTTTGAGCTAAAAAAGTGAGAATACATAGACACAACAAGCAACCCCTGAAAATCTGGAAAGTAAAACATTTGGGTGTCATGTGCAGGGTTGAGGAAGAATTAGATGAATATACAAGTCATTCTCAAAAAGCTTCCTCTAAAAACAGATCATATAACTTCTACGGAACTGTCCTATATTTAGAGCCCCTGAGGTGAAGTTAGAAATTTGCTGGAATTGATTGCACAAGCCTGCTCAGCTCTACTGAACATTGGTAATGGATCACATCTTCAGACTGCCAAGTTAGAGAAGGGTGGATTAGAAAACATTGAGTGAGCTGATGTCTGGGGAGATCTAACTTCAGAACCTCACACAACTATCTTCTTGAAGAAAAAGTAGAATATTGTCAGCCCTCCCAGGTAAACCAGACAGGAAACATGATCAGATGAGCTACTTCTACTTAGGCTGTTCATGTTAGGCTACATGAACAGAATCTTGCAAGTCTGAAAGTACATGTCTCCCGCCATCCCCATGTACCACCTGATCAGTTAGGGCGGGTCCTTTCTAAGTTTCTTTCTCTGCCTGTTACTCAGCTGCAGGCTTCTCCCCCTTCTATTTGATTGTTCCCTAGGCAGCATCTTCCCCCCCCCACTGTGCATCTTCCAAAGTCATTCTCAAATTCCATTACAAATATAAATGTAAAATATTTTACAATAACAAATACATATTTATCAAATCATGTACATTTCCTGTGCTATAATTGTGATTTATGTGAACATTGATAAATATGTTCACATACAAGCTCATTGTGCAAAATGGTAACATTGGTCGATCACACTAGAATAATTCTGTAAATGCATGCAGTTTACAATTACATGAAAAAGAGTTTGTACCTACTTCTGGAAAGGACAGTGAGCCCTCATTCATGTTTTTAAAAAAATTCTACAGTGAGCTAGCTATTATACAGACAGCATTGCCATCTACTGGACAGCTTCATAACAGAGTGGTTTAATGGTTTCCCATAATCACAGCTGAAAGTATTTTGAAATTAAAATATAGGATTTGAACTTGTTATTGTGAACATCCTAATAAATCTTAGAATAACTTTATTATATAATCATTGGTTGAATATTACTTCCAAGCAGATAACTGGGACATGATAAAACTAACATGGTATTAGTATTAAACATCAAAATGAAAACCTAATATTTTAGAATACCGATGGCAGGATTTTAAAAGAGCTGTCTCAGTTTAGTAGCTTAAGAAGTCAAACAGCTATTTTTACAACCTGCTCAGTTGGAAGCAAAGTCCATTTCAGTGCAGTGGGCCTACTTCCACCTAATGGAGACTTTGTTAATGTACAACCTTAATGTGTATGCCTCCCATTCACAACTAGCATGGGTTTTGGAGCCAGGAGAATTATTCTAGTGTGATCGACCAATGTTACCATTTTGCACAATGAGCTTCCCAAATTTCGTGGCAATTCCATCCCCTTCCAGTCAGCAAAACTCCAGAGCAAAGTCATGGAGAAAGGGATACTACAGGATAGGCAATTACAACGGAACAACGTACTGTATTGGTGGAACAGCACAAGCCACATCCTCAGGTCCCTGATACTATCATAGGCTTCATTTGTATCTTACCAATCCATATTGGGTAGTTTTTGCCGCAGCTGTGATCAATATCAAAAAGTATCTCACAGGACGAGTCTGAAAAGTAGATGAGAGAAAGAACAAGAAACAACTTTAGGATGAATGAAGCAGCCACACAGTTAATCTAATAAAGAGATTCACACCACTGGTTCCAACAGTGTAGTGGAGGGTCGCCAGCCCTTCGAGGTAGTCCAGACAAGAAGCACATCAATGAATCCTAGCTCTGTGAAACTCGGGAGGGTCCCTTCTGAGACACTTCCCATGCCCCTTTTGCTTCTGTGGGTTGAGATATCTTTTGCATGGTGGTTGTCTAGGCTGTGGCTGTTCCTCCTGTCTCCCAGGGTCATTCCCACGTACCATTACAAGGATGAAGCGTGAGGACCCAAGCCAGCCTTATCATCTCTT